GTCTGGAACCAGCTTCCAAGTGAGGTGGTGCAGGCTCGCACCCTGGGGGTTTTTAAGAGGAGGTTGGATGACCACCTTACTGGGGTCGTTTGACCCCAGTGCTCTTCCTGCCATGGCAGGGGGTCGGACTAGATGATCTGCTCAGGTCCCTTCCGACCCTAGAAACTATGAAACTATGAAACTATAGGTTCTGGGGACCCCGCACCACCCCTGTTCAATCCTACTTGTCGGTATTGGGCCCTACATCACCCTGCATGCCCAATCTAGTACCCATGGCCTGCAAGGTTCCCCACAGACCCATGAGGAGCTCTCCAGGCCAGATGACACAGTGCTGAGGTCTGGATCTGACCCATAGGTCAAGGGTTGAGGACTCATTTTTGGGGGGTCAAGGAGATAGGAGTTATTGGCCAGTGCAAGTAGAAAAGAGAGTACTTCTGTTTGGGAGGGAGAGACTAGCTTTCCCTGGGAAGCCATAACCAGAGGCATAACAAGCAGGATTTGCATCCTGGACAAACCCTGTGGGAGAGCACTGGTAGGGGGAGGGCAGGGGGGTGGCTATAAAGAAGGCATTGTTGAATGCCAGAGAGCCAGGGGTTCTGAGAACAGGCAGACATGAGTCTTACCTACGCCAGGGACTATAAAACCATGCTGCTGCTGCTACCACAGCAGTATGGTTTGCCTGCCCTGGCTACTGCTCCTACAGAAGCAGTGCAGTGTTCATGCACTGGTGGCTGCTGCACAAGCAACTCCATGGGGTTGCTTTTGCTGCCAGAGCACAGATTCTGCAGGAGTGGAGGCAGTTCTGGCACCTCTCTTAATTTGGCACCTAGAGGTGATGTCTTATCTCACCCACCTAGCTACATTAGCCAAAGTCTGTTTTCATTGCATGGCTTGATGACATAGGGTGCTTCTTCAGGTCTTGGAGCCACAAGAAAACAATACACCAATCAACCTGAAGGCAGTGGAGTCCAAGCTAAGCTGTTCTCCCACAAAGTTCTAGTAGTGCAGTTAGCAATAAGAATGATTGATGGATCTGTGAACACCCACCAGCTCTATCCTCCAGAGATTGCTGAGGAGTTGCGCCTTGGAGTGCATTCCTTTGTGCAGCAATTCTGCTAAGTCTAGAGCCCTCCTGATCCAGCACAGGGAGGGACAGATTGTAAGAATTGCCCTAAATATCTTAACAGGTTCCCATTATTCTACCTTAAACTTTATCCCCCTCAAAGACTTTGGTGAACCTTCTACTCACTTCATTCAAAATTATGTATAATTTTTATCAGGACTTTGAATGTAATATCTATAGACATCAGGAAGAACTTCTTTATGGTAAGGGTTGCCAGAATCTGGAATGGGCTTCCAAGGGAGGTGGTGCTCTCCCCTACCTTGGGGGTCTTTAAGAGGAGACTAGACAAGCACCTAGCTGGGGTCATCTGACCCCAGCACTCTTTCCTGTCTGGGGCAGGGGGTCAGACTCAATGATCTGCTGAGGTCCATTCTGACCCTAGTATCTATGAATCTATGAATTAAAAATTATAAGAATGTCCAAACTATTTTGGCAATATTTGCAAATGGGATAGGAATAATGAGTATTTATACACATCCTTTCAGTAAGAGGATAATCGGTTACTTTTGGTAATGCAGAGGGAAACAGATGACTGTAAGGTGCTGACAGCTTTAAATATAAAGGGCAGGATTCTTCAGGTCACTATGGTAGCTGATCCAACTGCTTAGAAAGCAATGGGATTGGAATGGCATAAAAATACTGCAATGGTATGACGAACCAGAGCCAAGAAGTTTTAAAAGTTGCATCTTGCTAAAACTGTGATAAAGGTATATGTATTCTCTAATTACTGCAGTAGTACAACTACTTTGTTAAATAATTAGGTGAAAACATTTCAGTGGCAATTTCTCCCTAGTGTTGGCAGCGAAGTGATAGCCCTAGGCAATTCTTAATTAGGATTCTTTAAAATTGTTAACTAAATTAGTCACCTATGAAATAACATTACCCAAGTTATTATTCTTAAATTGCAGTTTGAATCCATCATCTGTTTTATTGTTTGGACATATTCCTACCTGGGTATTAAGTAGATGGCTTATCTCATTTCTAATGAATTCATAGCTTGTAATCGGAAGAGGCCATGAGCACCTCTTTTAACATTCCTTTGTAAATTGTTGGTCAGGCAGTTGGTGCAAACTTTTATATTACAGCCTTCAGTTCTGTGAGGTGCATTTCAACAGCACCATTCCTCATTACTTGCAATACACAGAACCTGAATCTGTTCTTATACCAGTTTTATAGTATTAGTTCTATTAAATTAATTGCCCTGAGTCCTTGTTTATGCTGTCATAAGTGGAGAATCCGACCCAGGATCTCTAGGGGCAAATGCTGTGTTGGCTGAGGCTCCAAATTGATATTACAAGAATATTGTTGCCCTTCTCTTACAAAACAAAGGTGGCCAGCCTGCAACTCAAGTGGCATGGCCAGCCTGTGTGTGAGACACACAGAAGATCAGGAAGGGGATAGGCAGCAAATCAGGCAAGGATCACAGGGCAGGAAGCAAAAAGCAGAGTAAGAGATTGGGCAAGGCAGGAAAGAGTAAGAAGCAGAAAGCAGAGCAGTAGATCAGGCAGAAGCGGGGGATTGGAGTGGCACTCGGGGAAGATACAGGGCTAAATTGTGGCATGCCTGGCAACTAGATTGGCCCCCGCTGTTATAGAGTTATTTAGTTGAATTTTTCACTCTTTTTGATGTCTGTAAATGGTATACGTAGAAAAGAATGCCATCAAATAATAAGATCTCAAGGATAATAGATTGACACAATTAATTACCATCTTTCCATTGAACTAGCAAGTACATTTTGAACATTAATTACTGTAATTAGGGACCTAGTGTTGTCAGCTCTTGACCTTTTCTTTCTAGTCTTGGAATAGTCGGTGTTTTGTTTAAAACATCAGTTCCCTGAGACCTTTTATTAAGCCAGCTTTTTCATTGTAAAAATGAAAGTTTCTACACCACACACTTTCAGAGACATGCTTGAACATCTCAGAAGGCAGCAACAGGAAACTCAAAATATATTTTTCTTTTAAGGAAAATAAAACCTCATGATTGTTTAATTCAGTCCAGTGCTTTTGAATGCTTGGGAATAGTAAGGTAAGGGACATTAAGCACAGGAGTAAAACAGCTGAATTTGAACCTTGATCTTTCCAGAAAAAGTCACCAAAATGTCTTTCATGTTGGACTTCAAGGATTTGAATATCCTTTCACCATGAATGCTGAAATCTTGGGAAACCCTTGGAATACCTTAGGGCCTTCTAAGCTAGCAGAAAGGAGGGGTGAGTCTGATAGGTCTCCTGGAGGAGAGAAGGTTGA